AGGGAGAACCATGAGGGAGAGCCACAGGTAACTGATGCAGGTAGGGCGGCCAGGGAAGGCCTCTGGAGTGCACAGGAAATCAACTAGAAAGCCAGTCTCCATTGTCCAGATGAAGGTGATGGTGATACTGAAACTGAGACCTGATGGGTAAGAAGGAGGTAAGAGCTCTGCATCCAGGACTGAGTGAGGGTTCAAGGCTGTGAGGACCAGGCTCATGGCCCTGAGGGGAGGATATGAGGTCAGGGTATCCCAGGTGAGGGGCAGAGAGGCCCCACCTGGCCATTCCTATGTGTCACTCAAGTGAGGTCAATTTCCTTGGTAAGTGAAATGGAGGTAGGGTACTTTCTTTCAACAGATCATTTATACATTTACTTGGCAAGTATTTATAGGTACATCCTGTATCTCAGGCAAAGCATTAATGCCAAGGAGCTCATGGCCTAGAGAGGAAAAGACAATTATAAAAGGATTTATTCATATATACATATATATTATATGTGAACATATAATATATATGTATATAACACGTATATATGTTTGTGTGTATTTATGCTTATATGTGTATACATGTATATGTATACATACACACACGTATGCTTTATCAGGGAAGCTTTGAGTCCGACCCAAGCACATGATGAGTAAGACATTTGAACCAGGTGAGAAGCAGTGGGAGTTATCCACTGTCTGCATTCTCATGAGGACCAAGTAGGACGACATGTGAAGTGTCAGCATCTATCAAAGCCACAGTGAAGGCAGTTCTTTTCCTTATGATTAACCTTAGAATCACTGATCCTAAGAAAGAAGCATAAAATGGTCAGGGCCAACCTCCCTATCATTGTAAGGATTTGGCTGAACTTTTATTCCTCAAGTCCACATAAATCGGAACAGTCAAGGCAGCCCTCATAAAGTGGCAGCTTGAGTCCCCACCAAGAAGCTGGCATAGCACTGAGACCTGTTAAATCAGAGAACATAGCTCTTTCCCTCAGGTTGACAATAAAGTGTGTGGCTACTTATATAAGGAGGAAGCGATAAGATAAAATTAAAACCTGGTTGGCAATGTAGATAGTAATAAGGCAAGGTCACAGTGCCCAATGGGGGCAGCCATGTGAAGCAAATGATGGACAGGGAGGATCCATTGCTTGTCTGTGCACATTACTGACCATTTTTGCAGTAACCTTGCACGCTGCCTTCTTGGGTAAAGAAATTGAGTTCTTTGTTGATGATCTCCCTCCTTCCTCCAGATCTCATCCTCCTCCAGGTTGTGTTCCTGCACCCCACCTGGCACCTTACCAGTCAACTGGTCACCCAGCCAGGCACCTGTTCAGATCCTGGATGAGTGGTACTGATTGGCTTATATAACTGATCCTCTGAACAGGAAAAGCTAGCAAACCCCTAACTCTAACCTTGAGAAATCATGGAATGGCACCTGTAGGCAAGTAGAGGACTTTTGAAGGTGGCATGAGCAAATTGACAGCCAGTTTTCAGAGGACCCTTTCCTATAACTGGAGAAGCCCCCCTAACCCCCGGAAAGCTTCAAAATTCATCTATATGATCCTTAGCTTAACCAGAAGTGCCAAATCCAATCCACAGTGATGTTTTCCATGTATAATAGTCCTCCTTATCTGTGAGCTTATTTTCTGTGGTTTCAGTTACCTGTAGTCAACCATGGCCTAAAATTATTGAATGGAAAATTACAGAAATACACAATTTGCAGGTTTTAAATCATGTACTGTTCTGAGTAATGTGATGAAATCTTGTATCTCCTACCCTGTTCTACCTGGTAAGTGGATCATCCCTCTGTCTAGCATATCCATGGTGCATATGCTACTCACCCAGTTGTTAGTGGCCATCTCAGATATCAGACTGACTGGTGAAGTATTACAGTGTTTGTGTTCAAGAAATCCTTATTTTATTTCATAATATCTCTATATAGCAGGAGGAGTGATCTTGGCAATTTGGACATGCCCATGAGAAGCTGCAAAGTGCTTCCTCTAAGTGAAAAGGTGAAAAGCAAAGTAGGATTTTTACACACTCACACCCCCCCACACACACAGCACATCCATGTAACTTTTATTATAGTGTATTCTATAATATGTCCATTTTATTATTAGCTATCATTGCTAACCTCTTACTGTATCTAATTCATAAATTGAACTTTGACCTGGGTATGTAAGTAAAAGAAAAAAAATCATACTAGTGCTTGGTACTACCTGCTGTTACAATTATCTAGTAGGGTCTTGGAATGTGTTCTTTTTTCCATATTTTTTGCTGGTGTGTTATGGTTGTACACATTGGTGGGACTTATTATTACACATTCATACATATGCTCATAATATAATAACATAATTTGGCCAATATTGTTCCCCGGTATTTATCCTTCCCTTCTTTCCTCCTTCCCCCTGGTAACTTTCCTCTGTTCTACTCGTCTCCTTTTGATTTCGATGAGATTCCCTCCTACTGCTCTTTTCTTTTTCCTCTTGAACTTCCATATATGAAAAAAAAACATGTGGCCCTTGACCTTCTGAGTTTGGCTTCTTTTGTGTAACTTATATTCCCCAGTGCTATTCATTTTCCTATAAATGTCATAATTTCATTCTTCTTTGTAGCTGAATAAGATTTCATTGTGTTTATACACCACATTTTCTTAATCTATTCATCACTGATGAACACCTAGGCTAGTTCTGTAGTTTGACTATTGTGTATTGTCTTGCTATAAACACGAGCGTGCATGTATCACTGTGGGGAGATGACTTTAATTCTTTAAGATGAATAGTGAGGAGTGATATAGCTGGTCATATGGTGGTTCCCTGCCTAGCCTTTTGAGGATCCTGGATTCTGATTTCCATAATGGTTGTACTAATTTACAGTCCCACCAACAGTGTAAAAAGTGTTCCTTTTTCTTCACATCCTCTCCAGAATTTATTATTTTTTGTACTATTGATGGCTGCCATTCTGACTAGAGTGAGAGGAATTCTCAGAGTAGTTTTGATTTGCATTTCCCTGATTGCCAATGATGTTGAACATTTTAAAAAATATTTTATCCATTTCCACTTTTTATGAGAAGTATCTAGTTAATTTGCCTATTTATTAATTGAGTTATTTGATTTTTGGCATTAAGTTTTTGGGTTCTTTATACATTCTGAATATTACTCCTCTGTCAGAAGAGTAGCTAACAAAGATTTTATTCCATTCTGTATGTTCTCTCTTCATATTCCCAATTGTTTCTTTTGCTGTGCAGAAGCTTTTTAATTTGAGGCTATCCCATTTATTACTCAAAGCGTTATTTCCTGAGCTTTGGGGGTCCATTGCTTGTGCCTACATGCTGGAGTATTGACCCTATGTTTTCTTCTAGGAGTTGCATAGTTTCTGGTCCAATTCCTTGATCCATTTTAAGTGGATTTTGCACAGTGTGAGAGATGAGGGTCTGGTCTCATTCTTCTATATATGGATAATCAGTTTGGGGAATGTGCTCTTTATGACTATATGGAAAAGACTCCAAAGGCAGATTAAATAATTTACTAGCAGTGTGAACTTATGCTTGACTGAAGACCTCATTGGTCTGGAGGGAATGAAAATAAAGAATACGCTGGAGAGAGTCTTGAGACCTGGATCATATAATTTCTGCTGCTCATGGGCTGTGTGATATACGGTGAGCCTGTCTCCTCGAGGGTTCTCAATTTGTATAAATCTATCTAGATGAGTACTCTGGTTGTCTTCCCACTCTGCCTCTGTGAGTCATGAGCTGCTGCAGTTTCTCTAGAAAATGTACTCTGACCTTGTCATCAAAATTCATCTAGCCCTCTTCTACAGTCCACCCCTGATGGCCTCTACAGTCCAAGCTAGGTGCAGGCAAGAAACTCTGCATTCACTTTTACATACACATTCATGGAAAGCCTGACATGTATTTCTGCAGGGAAATTGATGGTTCTGACTGCAATGGTTTCTTCCAAGCAGGATGATGTATGAGGAGAGCACCATGCAGATCACTCAAGGGGACAAGGTTGTCCAATCACAGGTTCCCAAAGGCCAGTGTTCTCAAATGGTTCCCTGCAAGCAGTCCAGGCTCCTGTCACCTCCTCTGCCCAAATTCTGTCAACTCTAGGAGCATAGCATTGGCTTAAGATACAAGAATATATTTCATGCTTGTATAACTATGTCAAAACGGATTCCACTGTCATACATAGCTAAAAGGAACAGTAAAATAACAATTTTTTAAAAGTCTACTGTGAGGGCTTGTAAGTGGTTCCAACAAATAAGAATGTGTGTGTAATTATTTATATTTATAAATACATAAGCAGTTTGCAGTGGTATTTACAAGGTGGCCTTTCTTTACAGTCTATAGCAGGGTCCACGGTTTCCCTGTCATTGGGGCCTCTTCTGAGAGAGAGAAGGAGGAGGGATAGAGAGATGCTTAGAACCCAGCAGCTCCTGCAGTCTCTGCAGCAGCCTGCAGTGAGGACTATTTGCTGGGAAGCATCTGCAGGTGTGGGGACCATGAATTATGGTCTTGATTCATTTTCTGAAGTACCATGTGTGAGACCAAGAAGCAAATGAAACTCCGTGGAATGGAAATAACTTCTTAATATTCAGACCTGCCAGACTTTGGATTTTAGTCTTGCCACTCATCCACTGTGTAAACCAGGGGGAATGATTCAACCTCTGTGAACCCCACTCCCCTCACCCACCAGGGAGGATATCAAAGCTTATTTTATACTGGGGTTGTATGGACCAAAGGAGGCAACACAGAGAGAATTCCTGGCACAAAACCTGACCCAGAGGACAGTAAGTGGCTGCTGCTGTGATTCCCATTAAGTTTCCCTGATTATGTCTCCATGAAAATGGAGGAGAAATGCCATCAGCAGCAAGAGTGACCCCAGAGACTCTATGTTGTGACAAGCATGGCCACACAGGGGCCACCCACCGTACCAAAGCATACTGGGAGAACTGGACCCTCTACCCTGACCCAGTAGTGGGGAGAAGGGAATTTATAATCAAAAACTCACCTGGCGGCTGCCTCCAGCTGTTCTTTCCTGTAAGGAGAAGAGGGAGAAAAGACAGACAAAGTGTGAATTACATGGAACACACCCCCGCCCCAAAGTTTGCTCCACAGATTCCCTTTGAAGGTGCTGGAGCAGAATGTTTCTCTGGGACAAGGTGGAATATGTGGAGGGGAAGCCACAAGGGAGGAGGTCCCAGCTGGACCCCAGGCCCCTGCTGCTGTGTGCTGTCAGGTTCTTCTCAGCCACTCCTATATGCCCTTACTCATCCAGAAAACAGCTGCTGAACACCCTCTCTGGCCCTGTCTGTAGTGGAGCTCAGAGGATTTGTTCAAGAGGAGACAGATCAGGCTGCAGCTGCCACACACCCCACTGCCTGTCACCCCCATCATCGTTATAGTCAACACTGGCATCTTTCATGCATTCTTGGGCATCTTTCATGCATCTGTTCGGTCATCAGATACTACCATAGGTGCTTTTATACATCAGCTCATTTCATCCTCATTACAACCCTGTAAGGTAAGTACTAGGATCAGTCATTTTCCTGATGAGGTGCAGAGAAGTAAAAAAATATTGCTCAAGGTCACAATTAGGAAGCTGCAGGGTCAGGATCCCAAGTTGGGCCATCTGGCTTCAGAGTCCATGCTGTCCTGAGGGGCACTGCAGGTGCTGTGCAAATAGTCCTGGTCCTGAGCCTTTGCCCAGCCTCTGCACAGATTTCCCTTCCTCTTTTTCTTCTGCCTGGAACCATCTTATTCATCTAACCTATCTGGACCCAGGCCTGACAGGGTGTTCTAGCCCTGGGCACTAACAGTGGCTCCCAGGACTATACCTTGGGAGCCCAGCATCTTCCTATCCCCCTCCATCTCCTCTGTGCCAAAGCATCAGTACTTCTCCCAGCCCAGACTCATCCAGCAGAGACTGAACTCCTGCAGTGGCCCAGGTACTTAGTTTGCTTTCACACATTTTATTCCAGTTGACCCTTACCAAAATAATCTTCAGAAACGGTTATTATCCAAATAACCCTGTCTCATCGTTTACCCAGTTTTCCTCCCTCAATAACTGTGTCTTCACTGAGTTGAATGGAAAAAGCATGGACTTTGGCATAAACACTGGGCTGCAGTCTCTGTTCCACCCCATATCGGCTGGTTGCACTGGGCAGCTAATTAATCTGACACTCTGTGTTATGTGTTGGGTCTGGAGTGTCCCCCAGCCTCACACGTGGAAGACTTGGTCCTTAACGCAGCAATGTTCAGAGGTGAGTTCTCAGGAAGTGACTGAATCACGGGGGCTCTGACCTCATCAATGGGTTCACCCATTAACAGAGTCATAGCTGATGGCATTACTGGGAAGTGGTGGAAACTGTAGGAGGCGGCCTACTTGTAGGAATTTGGTGTGCCATGGAAGGGCATTTACCACCCCAGACCCTTCCTCTCTCTGCCTTTCTCTCTCTCTCTGCTTCATGGTCATTATGAGCTGAGCAATTTTCCTCCATCACGCTCTTTTCCTTCTGCTCTGACGTTCTACTCTGCCTCAGGCCTGGAGCCATGGAATCAGCTGACCATGGACTGAAACTTGTGAAACCATGAGCCAAGATCAATCTTTCCTCCTGTAAGTTGATTTTCTCAGTTATTTTGGCACAACAGAAAGCTGAATAACACACTCTGATTCTTTATCTATAAAAATAGAGTTACTCCTTCTACTTACCTTTTAAAACATTCTAAATGTAAAATAAGATAGTATGTATAAAGTCATGTTCAATGTTTGGCCACGCTGTCTGTGGCTCCCCTTCTCCATTTCTAAGTACTCTGATAGTCTTGACTGGTCACAGAAGGAACAAGTCCGGTTTCCACAGTAAACTAGCTGTTCTTGGTCAAGTAACTTCTACTTCCTGAGCCTGAGTCTCCACATCTCCATTTCAGTTGTTATCTAACAATTTCAGGGCCATGCTGGTCACACATGGCTTTTTACATTAAAGTTAAATAAATTAAAAATTAAATTCCTCATTGCACTAAGAATAGTCTAATGCTCAACAGCCACATACGGCTAATGGCTGCCATATTGGGTAGTACTGCTATAGAACATGTGAAACTCTCTGATGTCCTCTGTAATTCAAAAACAACAAGTTTGTAATTATAAGTGGTAATAAAAGAAAACTAAAAATGTAACTCCATTGCCCATCATGGCTAGACCCAAACACGTATCTGCAAATTGATAAAGGACTACACTGAGCAGAAAATGGATGGGCTACACAATTTCATTCTTCAAAACCTTTGTCAAGAAAGTAAAATGGTCTAACCACTGTGGAAAATAGTCTAGCAGTTCCATAAGAAGTTAAACATAGAGCTACCATTTCTACTCACAAGTACATACTCAAAGTAATTGAAAAGGTGACCATAAAATGACATGGATCTGAATATTCACAGCTGTGGTCCTCCTATTATCTGAAATCTAGAAACAACACTGGATTCTGTCAAGTGATGAATGGGTAAGCATAATGTGATGTATGTCACTGGATATTATTCAACCCACAGTAAGGAACAAAGTTCTGATAAGCACTGCAGCATGGATGGAACCTGAAGCCACCATGTTAGTGAAAGAAAACATACACAAAAGGCAATGTATAATATGATTTTGTTACTACATGAAATGTTCAGAATAGGCAGAAGAGAGACAGAAGCAGATTAGTGGTTTCAGTGTTGGGAAGAAAGAAGGAACAAGGAATAACTGATAATGGATATAGAGTTTCTTTCTGGGGTAAGGAAAATTTTCTGGAGTTATATAGTGGTGGTCAGTGCCTAACATCACTAATATACTGAAAGCTACCACATTGTCTACTTTAAAAGGATACCTTTTGTGGTAGGTGAAATCCTCTTATGGACTGTGAAATGTATCTCAATAAAATTGTTATTTAAAAAATTAAGCATATGGCAAAAGAATCCTCCAGGAGGTAGGTGAGGACATGTCAGTGTATTGTCAGCTACTTCTTGCCATTAACATGAAGTAGGCTGAAACTCAGGGACATTGTTTCCCCAAGGGACTGCCTTGTTAGTGAATTTCTCTAGTGACTCTATACTTTCGTCCTTGAGAGAAAAAAGAAATGTTCTCTCTTAGTTTAAAAGCTATTCCCATATCACAGCAGCTGTCTGCAGCACAATGTAGTCCTCCAAATCTCTGACAGCTAGGACAAAGCCTTATTTATAATAAATTAATCCCAAAGAAAGAGACCATTGCCAAGGCCTTGGGATGCATAGAAAATGAAAATCCTCTTGGTTCTGCACCCAATGTGGTTGCACAGGTTCTTGTTTTTGAGTTCAAGGTCACACTTAGGAGGAAGTCAGCCACCTGTCTGTTCTAGGGAGCCTGATTTATGCTACCTAAGCTCTAAATTAAGATTACAGGAATAATAGAATTTCAGAAACAAAAGGAACTGTATAGGTTATATTCTGAGTGACTAAGTCTAAGAACAAGTCAGGGAACCCAGTGAGTAAGCCCAAGCACATCATGATTCCCTGAAGACTCATACTGAAGGTACCTCTCACCTCCCCAACCCTTCCGCAGGCATTGGTCCCTCTTGCTTATTCTTTTTCAGATCCTTCCTCTCCTCTCCCTTCTTACTGCTTTTACCTTGGGCCCTCATTGCCCTGACCCTGAGCCCCACAGTCATTTGCTAGCTGATCTCCTTCAATCTTGAGCCTGTGGAATCACCCTCTGTCTTCTTTCTGAAACAGATCAGATGGTGTCATTTTCTGGCTCCTAGGGCTTCTTGTTGCCTTCAGTATTAAAATTAGATTCACTTGCAAGTCATTGAGGACCCTCCCTGGTCTGGCCCAGTGCTTAGCACATAGCACTCAAATATATTGGTGGATTGGATGCCCTGAGTGGAAAAGTGCTCATGCCCCCAGAATCTCTTGAGGAAGAGAGACATGACAGGATTGCAGGGGAGAAGTTAGCAGGGTCTGGTCTTGCAAGATCTGAAGTTCATGTAAAGTTTTCGATTTTCATTTTCATCTTTTTGTCATGTTTACTCACTGAAAGGTTCTATGCAGGGAAATGAGTCAATAGAACCCAAATTCCTTGTCTTTTCTTAAATCTTGACCACAGTCTGGTGTTGAGAGTAGAAAGATAAACTGAAGCAGCCTTCAGAGACTGGCCACTGAGGGAGTCACTCGTCCACTACTGGCTTATACTATGGCCCTAAAATGTCAGACCCGTGGGGAAAACATGTTTGAGAGTGTCTTAATGAAGTGGCAAATCCTTCCTAAGATTTTTCTTTTTATCTCTGTTAATAACTGCAACCCACTTGTTTCTGCTTCTGTAATCATGCTTGCTCAGCAGCTGTGGCCAGAACCAGAGCTGCCTGGAAAGAGGGAAAGGAAATCAAGGCTACTTGCATGAGAAACTCTTGAAATCCAGAAGATTGTACAATATAAAAGATAACCAAAAACAAAGGGCTGTGCTCAGCCTTTGGGAAAGATTTTGCTGAACCTACTCTCCTGCATCTCCAAGTGCCACGTGTCTCTTTCCAGTGCCATAATTTTCTGTATTTTATAACAATAAACTCCAGGAACAAGCTCACTATCCATCTAGGTTTCCTTCCAAGTCAAGGGTTCTAGGAGTCAACTTTCTACCCACAGACTTCAAGGCATGAGCTCAGAACTCCAGTACCTGAAATGTGGGAAGGAGCAGTCTCCTTCAGAAGCCCAGGGAGATAAAAGGCCATGGGCTTTGGAAACCTCTAGGTTTTAACATTAGTCAGTGTCTGAAGTTCAGAGCCTCAGCTGGCTTATCTGCAAGTAGATCTTGCTGACACTCAGCCCGTCTCCAGGTGTGCACTATGTGCATATGCATGTGGCCATGTGTGGATCTCCTAGGTTCCTGTTCCATGTGGTTTTCCCCTAGTCCTCCATCAGTATCACTGAAGCTGGGTCTGCATTTCCAAAATGCTCCTCCACTCTAATACACCTTGACGTTTGAGAATCCCCGACTTATCTCCTAGGGTACCCATGAGGATTAAGTCAAATTAGCACTTGGAAACCTGGAACACAGTGGACATCAATGCACAGTAATTTCCCTCTTCCTACATGCTGGCCATGGGAAAAGTCTATTTTTTCTTCTTTTCAACCTTGAGAACACAAAACAGCATCATTGAATTTCCAGAGGACTCTTTTGTCCTCTTTCACCTTCCCTTTTCCACAGCCCAGGGTGGTGTGCATTCTAAGGAGGACACCCAGCATTGCTAAGGCAGCTGTGGGTGCAGGCTTCCACTTTCTCAATCCTGTCCTCTGCTCATACATAGATAGGAACTTTCCCTATCAGCCACTTCACACTGTCTAGCTGCTAACCTCTGGCGGCATACTGGAGTCACCTGGGGAGCTTTTGGAAACATGGATGCCCAAACATAGTCCTGAAGATTCTGATTTTAATACCCTAAGTGTGTCCTGCTCCCAGTTGATGCTAATGTGCAGCCCATGATGGGAAGCCCCCTTGCCCTAGCAGATGTCCTCCAGGAAACGGTAGAGGCCATAACACAAATAGACCACTGGAGGGATAGTCAACCATGGCCTAAGCACTCAGATAAGTGGTCACTTGCCTGAAGAATGGAAAAGAGACGACTGATTCATAAAATCTCCACGTTGCCACAAGGTCGATCCTGTTTGGGTTGGTAGCATAATACCTCCAGGCAGCCTGGGGAGCAGAACAGAGGGGCAGGAATGAAAGTATCACTGAAATCGTTACACACAGTCCCACTACATTATGACACTACAAAGCCCTTAGGTTTGAATTTGCATAGAACTGACCTTCAGAGAAACTGAGGTTCTCAGCTTTCTATAACCCCTCTGGGAAAAAAAACTTCCTTGACTTTCTCAGAGTTGTAATGGTGTCTTGGTGGGTAGGGGTATGGAGAGAGATGAATGGGAATAAAGAGGAACTACTATTTCCAGAAGGTTCCAGGAATCTTCTCAATCAAATAGATAGGAAAACAAACTGTCTTTTGTGGTCACTTCAAGGTGCAAGGCAGAGAGCCTGGGGCATGAGGTTTGCCCCTGGGATGCTCTGATGGCTTGGGGTTTCAGGGATAATGCACCGGACTTGGAGGTTGGGACCCACCTCAGAACTACAGCCTGTAGGATGCCATCATGTACCATGCTGGGTCAGCCCCAGAGACCCACAGAGACAACCACTACAACCAGGCACAAATTCAAAGTGGGCAGCCAGGTCCTGAGCACTTAGATGGCCACAGCTGGGACACCTCTTTGTCCTTCTCACTGCACTGCCACTCTTCCCACAGCCCACGTCAGCATGAAGCAGGACTCCTCCTGAAGTCTAAGAGGAGGGCTTTTGCCTTTCTAACTACTGCTAATGCCTCTCCCAAGCCCAGCCTCTGGTGAGGGGATTGCTGGTGATAAGCGGGCAGGGGTCCAGAATCCACTGCTCCATGAATGCCCTGGCTGGGATACACAGGTGCAGTGGCTCAATAGTTTGCACATGTAAGGAATCACTTTCTCTCTTGGCTTATGGGCCCTCTCTCTCTTTGGCAGATGTGAGAGCCCACAGTCCTTGTGGTTCACTGGCTAAGTACTTGACTATAGGCTATTGACTCTTCCTTTTGGGTCCCAAGGTGAAACCTGGAATAAGAAGCAGGCCTAGTGGGCTCAGAGGTCTAAGCCAAATTTTCTACTCCAACATTGTCAGTAAAATGGCTGATAGTTTCAAAAGAGTCCCGCATCTATTTCAAGATTGGTTTAGAATTTGGATAGGAGGTACTAGTCTGTCACCTTCAGAACAAGTATAGACAGGTCAAATGGATAACCATGGCAATGCCCATAGCCACCCACAGCGAGCATATGCAAGCAGGCCCACTCCTGTGTGTATGTGTGGCTGCATGTCTGTGTGCTCTCTCTCTCTCTCTCTCTCTCTCTCTCTCTCTCTCTCACTCACACACACACACACACACACACACACACACACACACAGTGTATGTTCTGGGTCACCATTCCAGTTTATTCTCAGGTAGACAGACCTGGATGAGCTCAGCAGCTGGCTTCCTCCTTTTCTCAAAGTGCTTCTGACGGTGCTGCTCCTGTACCTTGAGGGCCAACCCTGACCCCAGGATGCCCTGCAGAAAGAGTAGGGCCCATAGTCAGGCCCCAAGACTCTCCTGGTATTCCAGGCCTACTGCCAAGGTAGCAGGTATTGTAGGGCTTAATGACTCCACAATGACATCATTGCATGAAGTGGAGAAGGGGGAAAGACACCATTCTTCCCCTTGAGAGAGCTGGGAGCTTGATTAAGGTCAGAGGTTAGGAGGGCCTGGCTTCTATACTCACTGCCGCTGTCCAGCTATGAGACCTGGTCAAGCCTCTTATCTGTCCTGCATCTCAGTTTCTTCCACAGGGTATTTGGGTCACAGTACCCACCTGATGATTGTGTTAAGACAAAAGTGAGATAACATATAGGAACTGCCTAGAAAAGGGTCTGGCACAGATTGGAGACCCAGGAAATGCTAGTGGAATTTTTAAAATATTCTAGCTGCTTGAATTGTCCCTAGAGACATGTACTGTAGCCTTAATTTCTCAGAACTGTGATCTGTTTTGACTTCCAGGTCAGATGTGCATGTGGATTTAGTGGATAGAATCATATACATTTCAAAATAAAAGAGAGCTTAGGTGCCATGCACCTAAGTTCCCTGCTCTGCTTTGCCTGAGTCACCCAGAAGAAGACTAAGATGCAGGAAGGTCAGATACTCAAGGTCAAACAGCCTAGGAAAAAATAGGCAAAGTGGGAGAAAGAACCGGGTAATGGAGAAGAACTTCACCACCAAAAGAATGGAGGGTGAAGGGGGCCACCAAGAGATTGTTATCTGAGAAAGTTCTTTCCAAGCTTCATGATTAAGAGCTGGGCTTCAAAACTGGCCAGGTTTGGGATTCTTGTCTCCACAACCCAGGAATATTAATATCCTAATTAAGCCTTACTTTTGTCATCTGGAAATTGGAGATGAATACAGCATCAAACTCCTAGTGTTGTCATGAAGATCAAGTGAGTTGATATAGGTAAAGCATTTGGCATTATGTAGGCCACATAGAAAGTTCAATACGTGCCATTGATTTTAATTGTTACACACTGGATGTGGGATTGGAGATGTTATTCTATCACCTACCAAGACTTCCTCTTGAGGGGAATGGATTTTTATATAAGGAAGTGTTATGGCTTGGATATGAGGTAACCCCTAAAGCTCCTGTGTTAATGCAGGAATATCAGATGTGAAATGATCAGATTATAAAAGCTGTGATTTAATCAGTTCGTCCTTGTTTGGACAGTCTGCCTGGGTGGTAACTAAAGGCAGGTGGGATGTGGCTGAAGGAGGTGGGTCAGTGGGGTGTGCCCAGGAAGGGTGCATCTTCCCTGTGGTTCCTTCTCCTTTTACTCTCTCTCTCTCTGCTTCTTGAGAGAGCAATGTCCCCACTCCCCAACACACACCCTTCCACCATGATGTTCTGCCCCATCTTGGGCCCAGAGGAATGAAGTTGGCCCACTATGGACTAAACCTCTGAAACCATGAACCAAAATAACCTGTCCCCATTGAAGGTGTCCTTGTCCAGTATTTTGACTACAGCAATGAAAAGCTGTCTAGCATAGGAAGGGAGTTCACATGCATGAAAAACCTCCCCAGTGCGAGGCTCTGGGATACAGGTTTGAAAGACAGAATGTCAGCCCCCAGGCATCACCATCCTCTAGGGAGACAGGTGTGGAAATGTGCAAGCCTAGCATGGAGGTATGCCCTAAGAGGAACCAGCTAGCCCAGCCAAGAAGGCAGCATTGAAACTGGGTCTTGGAAGAGGAGTGGATGTTTGGAGGGATCACTCACTCCTGGCAAAGGGAAGTGGCACGGGCTATGGAAGGGGAGTGGACAACCATGCTTGGAATTTCGTGTGCAAAAGGTTGAGAACTGAGCTGGGATTTGAGCTGGGACCAGACAGTGAGTGGTCCTCCTATCCCAAGTCCAAGATACTTACCGCTGGAAGGGCAAAGAAGGAGACACCAATTAAGGAAAAGGTGGCAGCAATCAGACGGCCTTCCCACGTCTTGGGAGTTTTGTCCCCATAGCCAATAGTGGCCAGTGTGATCTGAAGAGAGAGGAGTTCAGACATGGGCTCCCTGGGAAGGGGAAAGCAGTGACATGCGAGCTGAGCTCTGCCCAAGTCCCAGCTCTGCCCACTCCCATTTATAACAAAGTTCCCATGCAAGAAAAGGCACCAGTACTGAGTAACTTATATGAAAGTCTTGAGACCACACCCTGTTTTGAAGGTAGGGCTTTCCTATCAAGCAGTCAGCAGATATTTCAATAATTTCAAACAAGTGTGTGTGTGTGTGTGTGTGTATGTGTGTGTGTGTATGTGTGTATTCTACATATACAGGTGGCCCTCTGTATCCACAATTCCACATCCTTGGATTCAACAACTGTAGATCAATAATGTTTGGAAAATAAAACAATAAAAATAACAATACAGCATAAAATAAGACAAATAAGAAATACTAATAGCTATTTACTCAATATTGACATTGTATGAGATGTTGTAAGTCATCTAGATGTGATTTAAATACACAGGAAAATGTGTAAAGGTTGTATGTATATCCTATACCATTTTATATCACAGTATTAAGCCTCTGTAGATTTTAATATGCTCAAGGGGGTCGGGGAGTTTGGAACCGGTCCCCTGTGGATACTGAGGGGCCTACGGATCTGTGAATGTGTGAGTTTATACAAAGCCACGTAAGTGATCTGTATTTGTGAGTATATTTGCACTCAGTGTGTATACATGTACATGTGTCTGTTCTTCATGTGTGGTATATTCCAGGTGTGTTTATATGAATGCATGGACATGTATCTGCAGGTGGAGAAGGATACAGAGCAGGCAACACATGGCTGCTGGAGTCCAATGCCTCATATGATTTCAAGTTCAACTCTCTAGTGGCTGAGGGACCTTAAATTAGTCACTTAATCTTTTTATGCCTCAATCTCCCCATTTTTTCAAAAGGAGTTAATAATAGGAGTTTAAGCTTAAAGTTCATTAGTAAATGCAATCTACCTGGAGTGAAAATCTGAAACAGGACTTCGATAAATGCCAGCTCTAATATCTTGGTGGCATGGGGCTGTGCATCTCCAGGCGTGTCTTCAGGTCTGGGTGCTCTTGTGTGTATCTGCCATGTGTCTGTTTGCACATGCCTGGCCTGGCTAAAACCACCAACCCGAGACTCATAAGGTGAGGTCCCAGGTGGCCGTGTGGTCAGACTGTCATGCACCCTGGCTTCTCATAGAAACATGACCCATGAAGGTCCCCAAGCCAGGCATCCCCCCCAGGCTACTCTGAGGAGAAGAGAACTCCAGGCATCCCTAGAGACATGACCCACAAGGGTCCCTAAGAAAGGCATCTGCCTGAGGCTCCTCTGAGAAAGGAACTCCAGGTGTCCCTAGAGATGTGACCCATGAGAGTTCCCAAGCTGGGCTTCTCCCTCAGGTTGCTTTGAGGAGAAGGGAGCTCTGAGTGTCCCCAGAGATGTGACCCAGGTGGGTCCTCAAGCTAGGCATCTCCCCCAGGCTGCTCTGAGAAGGGGACTCCAGGCTTCATTAGAGAAACAGCCGAGGAGGGTCCCTAAGTGAAACACCTCCCTCAGGTTGCTCTGAGGAGAAGGGAACCCTTCACTGGAGACAGGACCCCAAGGGTCCCCAAGCATGGCATCTCCCTCAGGCTGCTCTGCAAGGGAAACCCCAGCCTCCCTAGAGCCATGACTCAGGAGGTCGTCATGCCAGGGGATCTTCTCCCTCGGGCTGCTCTGAGAAGGGAACCCCGAGTGTCCCTAGAGATGTGACCCAGGAGGGTCCCCACACTGGCATCTCCCCCAGGCCACTCTGAAGAGAAGGGAGCCCCGGGAATCCCTAGAGACATGGCCCACGGGGGTCCCCACGCCAGGCGTCTCTCTCAGGCCGCTGAGGAGAAGGAATCCCAGGGCGTCCCTAGAGACACGACTCGGGCCCTAAGCCAAGAGTCCGCTGAGGCCGCTGTGAGGAGAAGGGAACCCGGGAGTCCCTGGAGGCATGACCCACGAGGGTCCCCACCCTGGGTGTCTCTCTCAATCTGCTCTGAGAAGGGAGCTCTGCCCCTCCCTGTGGAGTGCCCCAACACTCCCAGGACTGGGCCTCTCCCGGGCGGGTCCTGAGGGGGAAGGCAGCTCCTCACTCTCCGGGAGGCGGCACTAAAGATGGCAGCGAGGCCCCGCCCCTTGCTGACCACGCCCCCTTTGGCCAGCCCCGCGCAGGAGCTGCTCTCGGCTCCGAGGACCCAGAAGGGTCTCCATGCTGGCGTCTGCCCCAGGCCGCTCTGAGGAGAAGGGAGCCCCGGGCCTTCTTAGAGATGTGACCCACGAGGGTCCCCACACCAGGCGTCTCCCTCAGGCCGCTCTGAGGAGAAGGGAGCCCCGGGAGTCCCTGGAGACACGACCCAGGGTCCCCACACCAGGCGTCTCCCTCAGGCCGCTCTGAGGAGAAGGGAGCCCCGGGCGTCCCTAGAGACACGACCCACGAGGGTCCCCACACCAGGCGTCTCCCTCAGGCCGCTCTGAGGAGAAGGGAGCCCCGGGAGTCCCTAGAGACGTGAACCAGGAGGCTCCAGACAATGGCGTCTCCCCCAGGCTGCTCTGAGGAGAAGGGAACTCGGGGCCTACTTAGAGACGTGACCCACGAGGGTCCCCAGGCCTGGCATGTCCTTCAGGCTGCTGTAAGGAGGAGTGAGCCCCCCAGTGTCCCTAGAGTGTGACCCACGAGGGTCTGCACACCACCCCAGCTTCTTATGAACACTGCAGGGAAGTCGTCTCCAAGGGCAGGAGTGTGGCTGGCGACAGGTGGAGGGGCCGGCTCTCACCTCCCACCGCACGCAGCGCGCAGCTGCCTAACTGTGGCGCCAATGCCATGCCCTCGGTCTCTCTGCCTCTACAGTCAATCCCCAAGGGCTGGTCTTGAAGGAGGCCACTCACCAGACCCCACCAGAGGGCGTCCGCATAGGTCTCAAACTCCTCCTTCATCTCCTCTCCTTGCGCGTCCACCTCGGGCACATCCTTCTCCACCAGGTAGACCAGAAAGGAGGACAGGATGAGGGTCAGGAAGCCGATGTACCAGGCGGTGATGAGTTCCTGCGAGAGTCACCACGGGCCAGGGAAGTAGCCGTTAGAAAGTCCTTGGATGGACATTTGGGCCAGACACACTGGAGTTCTGGATTTGTCAGCTCCCACTCATTCACCTGCTCCGACCTTCACCTCCCACCACTGTAGAAGGAGATCGGGAGTATGGACATCATTCCCATCGTTCATTAAGGGAATGGGTATGTGGTTCCAGTAGGAGAGGACGACTTCTGATCATAGTCACCTTGGTCTCAGAGCTCATGAGACAGCGAGAGGTCAGGACGGACTGGCCACTCCCTCAGAGAGAAGGCTCAGGACTGAATTCCATGCAGGACTGACAAAACCGGCAGAAATCTCAATACCGTGAGGAAATCTGTGGCCAGGAAGAGCTAGTGTGGCACAGTGGACAGCCCTCTGAACAGACCTGCCACCCAGTTACCAGGTGACCCTGGGCAAATATCCCCCACTGCCTAACTTTAGAATTCTCACTTTTAAATTGAAGATACTGGACCATAGGGACCCTGAAAGTGACATGTGTGCCACTGGTAAATTCAGACAAGTGGATTTTATGTGAAATGGTTCTGCATTGATTTAGAACATATGAAAAATGAGCATAAATAATATATAAACTCATGACCCACGAGGGTCCCCAGGCCTGGCATCATGATTCTTGTCACATGACAGACCAGGTAAATAGGGAAGGAGACAAGGAGTCAATTGGTTTAAAGGGAAATGTTGAGTGACAGAGAAAACAGCACAGAGAGGTGGCGGAGACCAGCACCGCACTGGAGACCATCCTGAGTGCTCCTCCAGCTTCAGCCTCCTTTATTTCTCTCATCCCCTCCCAAGGCCAAGGCTTAACATGGGAGGCTGGATGGGAGGAAGGCCAAGGTGACTGGCAAATGCAGTCTGGAGGGAAGCCTACTTCTGCTGAGTCAGGGCAAGTCACCCTCTTGATGTCCTCCCACGTCAGCTGCCTTCTTCTGCCTGACCTCCCCACCCCCACCCTGGAGGTGGGGCCAAATGACAAGCCTCACATCATCTTCAACTCATGTCACCTCCATCATGAAATGTTCTGGGAGGCTTGCTCCCCCAGCTGGAGCTCCTTCCCCCTCCACTGTGCCCTCAGCAGCCTGCATCTCTGATGTGCGGCACGCTATCTGGAGCCTCACTGCTCACTGCACCTCCTGAGCTCAGCCGAGAGCAAGAGGCGATGGGGGGCAGCCCAGCAGTGAACTTCTGATGGGAGTTCTAGAAGGCAGGGGTTAGGTGGACGCTGCCTCCTTGGGAGCTGTCTGAACGTGGCCTCTTGTCTTGTAGAATGCAGTTCTGGTGTTTATGTGTTTTCTTACTCCCTGGCTCCCAAATGCAAGTCAGAAGTTTCATCTGCGCCTGACTGAAGAAACAGCTGTCTGCTCACGGGGGCTCAGATAAGCTGGAGGTGCAGGATTATTAAGAGATGGTACAATGGCTGCCAATGAGGAGTGAAATGGGTCCCCATTCTGTGCTTTGCACCCGTTTACAACACTATTTGAGGCAATCCTGACTTGACACAATTTTTGCCAGCAGCTTTGTGGCAGAACCATTCCTTCCACGTGCCGAGGCTCCCTGCAGTCAGGCTGGGAGTAAGGACTGGTGTCCAGCCAATGTGGGGAATTGAAGGGGGCAAGTCCCTTCTTCTTCTTCTTATTATTATTAATTATCTTATTATTATTAATCATTATGCAGAATGCACCAGACCTTTCCCCCCGCCTCAGTTTCTCAAGGCTTCATTCTCACCATAGATCAGATCTACCCAATGTATGGCAGACACTGAAAAAACAAGATGTAGGTGTCTTTTGCTGGACAACAGTGACCTCAGGACTTATTTGTTCTGGGAACACGTCCTGGCCTATCCTAACTAGTGAGAGCATCACCTTTAAAGGTTTTGACCTGTGGAACATAGTCCTCCCACCTTTCATCTCTGAGCATCCAGAGGAGTCAAGCCCAGAGCTAACGGATGGATGAGGAAACAAGATTGGCATGTTCTTGTCCCCTTAGAAAGAGCTTCCTCTCTGCTCTGACAGCCCAGGCCTTCACCAGTACTCACAACACACACTTTGGGGCATGGGAAGAGCTTGGTAAACCAAGGTTTGTGAGCAGGCAGCTCCACTCCAGAGCCTTTGCCCGCCCCGGGAAGGAGATCCTGCTTTAGAGGAGGAGTCTGGCTTCAGGGTGGGCTCACCTTCTTCAGGAATCATCACAAACATCCAAGGTTGCTGGTAATCACACGGTAAATAGTCAGCAGACGCTGGGCATCTATCCTAGTCTTAAGGAAAGCAGGGCCAGGACCCCAAGCCAGAAATTTTTATCACCATTTTCCACCAGAACTGTCAATCAAATGGGCCCCATGGGTACTAGGTTATGACTGAGCCCAGGAGGGTGGAGTGAACATGTCCTCTGAGAAACATAAACTGGCAGGTCAGGAGGAAGACAGAAAAATCTGTAAAGAAAACTGTCACCTCACCAACTCTTATGGACAGAGGTGGCACAGACAGGGAATAAAAAACACTTATGGCAAGAAATGGTGTTATAAGGTGGAGAGTCCCGTGTTTTACATTTTAATTTAACGCAGTGCAAACAGTTGTGTGTTCAATAATGATGCTTCATTCAACAAGGGACCCAGTTGTATTTGCTCTAAGCTTGTATTTGGTCTACTATAAGATGCCATCTCATGGGAAACCATGCCCCAGTGTATCTGGGTGCATATCTGAGATGTAGGACCCAGGAGGTGTGTGTTGTGGAGTCTTGAAGTTGGAGGCAGCTTGGTCATGGTGATGTAAGAAAAGCTCTGAGTTCCTTTAGTATTGAATTGCCCAGGTTCACTGCCTCAGGACCAGTTTCCCAGAAACACAACCTAAGACAGGGATTTGGGTTCATGTGATTTATCTGCATGTGATTACTGACTGGGAGATTGTAGGGTCCCTTGGAAAGGGGTGCCCACTATGGTTGGCACAAAAGACTCAGTGAAAGAGGAGGCTTTGAATTTATGTCCTTAAAGAATGCGTGTCCCAGGGTCCCTCCCTCTGCTCTCTCCTGCACTAGCTGAGACAGAGGCTTTCTCTCATTCCTCCAGGGTCAGCTCAGCAGCCAGATTAAAGCAGAGTGGTTCTGGGGCTTGGGTTAATGATAGGAAGAACACCCAGGGATTGCCATGAAGCCAGAGAATTGCTTGGCTTCCAAGCCTGAGCAGCTTGGAAGCTTAGGCACGTGGCACTCTGGAAGGAGACCACACTGAGTCCACCCCTCCCATTTTCTGGCCTCTCATAGAGATGTGAGCTCACCAGAGACAGCAGTCAATTCTTGGATATGGCTCAGGAAAGGCACTGTCTGGGATTGTGTCCCACTGTGTGATCTTGAGCAAGTTGCTTCTTTTTTCTGCATCTGCTTCCTCATTGGTGAAATGGGGGAACGAGAGAGCCAGGCTCATGGGGCGGCTAGTCCATGTCCAACACTGTGTTCTGGGCACTGTGCTTTGGGCTTTATGTAGTGAGAGAAGCTGCATGACTTCTCTGGCTGGGTATGTTGTAAATGCTCCTCCTGTTGATTCACGTCATCCTCACATCAACCATATGGGGAATTATCATTCCTACTTTATAAATGCAGGACCCAAGACCTAAAGTGGTTACAAAAACATCCCCCAAGTCCCACAGGTAGAGTTGGTTTCCAGACCAGCCTGTGTGACTTCCGACTTTTCCCTCCCACCACATCTGCCCTGTGTGAGTTCATGTCTCCTTCTCGAACGTCTGGAGCACAAGCTTTAGAAATGAGGAAACGGAGGGCCAAAGGGGGTGAGTCATGAAGCCAATGGAGGAGCTGAGAGCTAAGCCCAGGTCTCTCTGCTTCTCTGGACCACATCTGCACATATCCCTCGTGCTCCCGGTCATCATCATCCATGGTGGCAGAAGGACCTAACCCTGAGAACACTATAAGGGAGAGGAAATCATGGAAAGGCAGAGGTGGTTGAGAAGCCCATGGAATCCTGTGGCTTCTCTCTGGCACTTACTTTGCTGTGGGCGCAGATGGCCGAGCCCAGGAGCTTCCAGGTGCCACCCCTTCGGTCCATCCGCAGCATGCGCAGGATCTGCAGGAAGCGCAGGCTTCGCAGGGAGGTGGCCAGGACATTTCCCTGGTTTCCCACAGCAACCACCGGCACAGAGGCAATCAGCACGAAGATGTCTAGGGAAGAGGACAGCGAGAGTGGCAGAGAATAGGGAAGGAAGGTGGGGTAAAGGCACAGCCATCTCCTGATGCTGCCTGCTGGGGCAGATGCACATGTGCCCCGCAGGGCTGGGCTCAGAGCTGCTGCATTCAGTCTGGCCTTCAAGCACACATGGAAAATAGTATTCTGTGATGCATAATCAAACAGATGCCCTGTGCATGAGCCAGCCCAAGGCCGCACTGCTAGACTAGTTGAGTCGGGATTGGAAACAGGCCCGCAACACTGTTCTAGATCCTGGAGCGGTGATTTACCAAAGCCTGCAGGGTGGCAATTGAGACTCACTCTCAGGTGAACTGGGGAGAAGAGGGGATCAGGGACACTCAGGCTACTGAGGTGAAGCCTGAAGCTCAGCCACTGCTCCCCCAAAATATCCCTGAGACAGGAACTTGGATGCAAGTAATCTTCCTGATCCCAGGAAGCCTTAGTGACAGGAGAGGGAGATGGGGGAAGGAGAAATGTACAAGTGAGGGGTACTATCAGGGTCCCTGCTGGGTCCTTGGAGCTGTAGGAAGAGCACCTTGCAACTTCATCCATCTGGACAGTGGGAAGCTGGCACGTTAGTCCTTTGACTCTGTCCCTGCTGGTGAAGGGTCAACCCCCGGGGATTTGTCAGCACCTGCGCACTTCTGAGCCGCATTAGTCCACTGATCTCCCGGTGTTTCAGGGTATATTGTGGAAATTGAGGCCCACCCAGGGGGCAGATGTTTGTATCATGGAAATGTCCACCACATGCCTTGCTGGAATTAGAGGTGGGCCAAGGGGACGAAGCACTTGTAAAAAGGCCCCTAGCTCCTGGAATCAGACAGTCCAGCACAAAAGACAGGGGCCTGATCCCTCTCTGTTCCCTTCAGGGACACCCAACACTCCCACCAACAATCTCCCTACCATCCTGCAAAGGGTTGGCAAGCTAAGGGGGCCTCATGGTCAAGTACATTTGGGAAAGACTCTTTGGAAGTCGAGTTGTTACTGAAGGATTCTCAGGGTCTTTAGTACACTAACATGCACTGTGGGATTTTAACTATACAAATGAAGCTCAGCCTTTCCAAAAGGTACTTTTCCCCAGTAAGCTTGGTGATAAGTTTAATGGGTCTCAAAATTCTGTGACAGATGTTTCGTCAAGTTGTTTTCTCTTACAAGTACTGATTTTAAAAAACTAATACCTTAAAACTGCCACACATACACAAAACCCCAATAGTCTGCAAATATCCTCCTTTCCTTTGAAATTTTTGTGTTGTTTTAACCTATCTTCTACTCTGAAGCTTAAATGACCAACTGAGACACACAGTTCTGGGACCTCTGATCAAGCCTGAGGTGCTGAAGATATTTGAACTTCTGAGCTTTCTGGGCAGACTTGGTGACATCGCCACTTCCGGTAGGTAGCCTTCTCTGATGCCACTTCAGCAGCTGCCTTGTGACTAGAACAGCAAACATAACTTATAAGAGGATAATCAGAGACACTCTCAACATGCATGAGCTTATTGATGGTGTCATTCTGAGATTTTAAGAATTTAGGACCATCTTCCAGCTTCTTTCCAGAACAGTGACCAACCTTCTCTTTCAGCTCAGCAAACTTGCAAGCAGTGGGTTGTCTGGCAGCCCAGGGCAGGGCACAGCCAGTGCTGATGTGTCCCGGATGGCTTGGGATAATCATCTGGGCAGTGAAGACAGCTGCTTCCACTGGTGGGTCATCTTTGCTATCACCAGCAACATTGCCATGACAAATGTGTGACAGACACGTACTTGACACTGAAACCCACCCTGGCTCCAGGAGGAGCTTCCCTCAAAGCTTCATGGTCATTCAACACACTTTATTTCAGTTGTGACACTGATAGGAGCAAGGGAACTACCATGCTGGGTTTGAGAACTCCAGTCTCTGCCCGGGCCCCTGGGACAGTGCTAATCCCACCAACCTTGTAGACATGCTGGAGGGTGGGGGCAAGGGCTCCTCAGTTGGATGAGTTGCTGCTGGTGGATGTAATCCAGAGCTTCCCCCCAGTGAGGTTCTACTGGCTTTGCCACCTTTATGGGTGGCTTTCCATCTGTTCACTGTGCTCCAGGAAGACATCACCATTCCAACCAGAAATGGGCATGAGTGCCACTGTGTGTCAGGTTGTAGCCTGTTTCTTAAGGTAGGTGTGACTTCCTTAACAATTTTCTCATCTCTCTTCTGGCTGCAGGTGGCTATTGGAAACCATTTTGTTAACACCAACAGTTAGTTCTTTCTCATCTGGTATGTAAGCCAGAAGAGCTCCATCACAGGTCAGCCCACTCTTGGAGATTCGAGCTTCAAATTTACCTACTCCAGCAGCAACAACCTGGACAGCACTGTCAGCCCAAGATGTGCCTGCAGCCTGGTCTTTGATGGGCTGCGTGTCCTGGGGTATCAATGACAGTTACCTAGATGCTCTTCAGTTTCCACAGGGAGATGCCAATGGTGGTACCACACTCACGCTCAGCTTTCAGCTTCTCCACAACCCAGGCACACTTGCAGGTGCTCTTTCCCATCCACAATCTCCTTCCCAGACTTTTCAATGGTTCTACTGAGGATCCCACCATATTTACAGATGAAATGGCCAGTAGCAGTGGTCTTGTCATACACCATGCATGAATCCAATAGTGACTGTGTTGAGAGGAGTCATTTCCTTTCTCTTTTTAACTTTGATTTAAGGGTGGTTTTCATGAAACATGATCTGGCAGAAAACTTATTGCAGGAAGAAAAATTCCCAAAGGATTTTGACTATAGAGCTATTTTTCAGAAGAGCATTCAAGGAACACACAGGATTTCAAGGAACATACTCAAAGAAATGCTTGTCCACTGAAGTCTGAGCTCCTTAAGCTGCTGGCTCCTGAGAATCTTCTGGAAGCATGCATGGTTTGCTGCGTACACTGCACTCTTTCATACCTCCACAAGTTTATATGTTCTGGTCTCAGTTTGTGACATGATCAATTGTCAATTCAAATCTGATGTGCTTTTTTACTGTATCCAGGGAACCCCTAGACACACCTGTCATCTGGGAAAACTGAGAGGGCAAGCATCAGGGTTCTGATAAGTCTGCATAACTGCTCAGGCTTCTCAGTTTACCTGTACAAAAAATCCACTTATAATATTCATAGAAAAACAAAATAAGTTATGTTATGTGCATGTACGAATATGGCATTAAGAATCCCACTTCATGACCAATGTAATTCTGCAACCTGTACACTCAGAAAAATGAGAAATATATCCCATCTGATTCAAATGTATATGTTAAGATCATTGTACTGTCATGTGTAATTAATTAAAACAAATAAAAAAAGAAAGCTCTGTCTGAGAAGAAATGTTAAAAAAAAAAGAATCCCACTACTATGTTCAATTATGATGCACGAGTAAAAAACAAATTAAAAAAAAAGAAAGAAAGAAAAACAAAACCCACACCTGCAGTAAATGCTGCAGTCTGTGATGCTTAGTGAGGAGGGAATATCTGACTCAGAAGGAGTATCTACACCCAAAGTGACCAGCTCTGAGGCTTCCTTGATTATGAAGGCCACCATGTCCCTGGACATAACCGCACTCTTGTCAAGAACACAGAGAAAAGCAACATTTGCTACCAGGGCCACATCGTGGAAGTAGCTGAGATGAGTCAGGTGGAAAAGAGGCCAGCAAGGACGACAGTGCTGAGGCTCAGCCTCGTGTCTCCATGGAGATGGAGCGGGCAGGGTGGCCTGGATCCCTGTGTGTGCAGCCCACCTCAAGGCAGTGGAGACAGCTGCATGGGAAGTCGCCTGTTCTGGAAGTTTCTGGGTTCCCTGTGCCAGGGTCTCTTGAACTTGGCAGGAATTTGAATTTGAGCATGGTCACAAAGCCTCCCCACCACACAATGCAAACATGCAGGACTCCAGCCAGCACTGCCAGTCATTGCACAGAGGAGAGTCAGCTAAACTCTGCTGCACTCACAGAAGACGCAGAAGGAAGAAGAGACGGAAGAAGGGAAGGCAAGTGGGAGGAGATATGGAAAGAGGGCAAAAGGGAGAAGAAAAAAATACAGAAAGCAGAGTAGCTAAAGAGCCTCCAAAACTGTGCTCACACACAGACATACCTACTTATGCTCAAAATTCTGCAAAACAAAACAAAACAAGAAAAAACAACCAAACTCTCCTCAGCAGCAGGTCGGCATAAGGCGAGTGGCTGAGAAGGCCCTGCATGCAGCAGGAGAGATCTGGCCCCTAGGGCAAAGGAACAGCCAGCTCTTCTCTGAGCAGCCATGGTGCCTGGGGGCCTGGGTATAGTCCTGGAGTCATTGTTCGAAGAGGAGGTGGGGAAGGAGCCACATGCTCAGAAGATGTCACAGACTATGAGTCTGAGAACACCAGTGTCCAGTGCTGCCAGGGTCAGTCAGCACACCTGTCCTGGATGGGACAAGACTGAGGGACAGGAGCAGCATAGGAGGCTGGACCCAAATAACTGGACAGAGTCAGAGGAGCTAAAAGGGGGTGAAAGCTCTGATAGGTGAGGAGCACCTCGTCACTGGGATGGGCAAGCAGGGTCTGGGGGACTACTTCAAGGCTGCTGCAGGGGCCTGAGGGCCTCTGGGTGGATGCCTTGGAGTCCCTTCCATTGCTAACCCCCAATGATGCTGTCTCTTTAGCCCCCACCCTACTCCAGGGACAGGAAGCCCTACCTCTCCTGGCTTTTTACAGGGGGATTTTGCCCTGTCATGACGCGGCTCCTAGCAGCATTTTCAGATGAAAACAAAGGTCATTGAGCTGTTCCACTATAAAAATAGTGCACCCAGTAGGAAGGATCCTAGTGACAAGGCCTCTCAGAAGCAGCATTTGGATGGAGACACAGCAACATGGTGGTGGGGAGGGCAAGCAGGTGCTAGAATCTTCTAGTCTTGTTGAGATGGAATCTGATGCTTACCACCTATGAGACTGGAACATGCCTGGGATCTGTGATCCTGTTCCCTCTGTGAGGTGAGGATAAGGTGGTCCTGCAGAAGCACATTCTCAGCCAGCAATGGTGTCCCTCCCCATTCCACCCAGACCGTCCGGAAGGTCCAGGCAATTTTCATTGTCATAGCAGGAGGGCTGCCTGAAGTCTAGGGACCAGGGATGCTCAACACCTGTCAACCTGCTGACTCCTCCACAACAAGAGGATTCCCCCACCCCAACTCATCACTGCCCTTTCCAGTTGACAGGAGGAGCAGCCCTGGAAGGTGGAACTTCATTCAGCACAGGCAGGTTGATGCTATTCTGGGCATGGAGGCAGGTCAACTGCTGGGCTGGCCTCCACTGTGCTGCACTCACTCCCAGAATAGTTGCTTAAAATATCCTTGGAGATGTAAAGCACGAAAAAGGGGCCTGAGTCCAGGCAACCCCTGGACTGGGGGATCAGGGCTTACCCAGCATGCACAAGGGCTTCCTGGCAAACTTCAGTCGTCCCCTCCAGCCTTTGTACCGACAGCAACATCCGGCGGCCCAGATCCTCAAAGCAAACTCGGCTCCAAAGATGAAAATAGCGAATGTTTCCTGCATGGAAGAGCATATGGAGAGGGCTGGGTGGCTGGGGACAGGTGTCTGGGCCAGTGTGTTCCACTCTGCAGATCTGGAGAGCTGGGTTTCTGCCACCCCTGCTGTGCTTTGTGGTGGCAGTGGCTGGGGGTGGGGAAGGAGACAAGGGTTGGTCCCCTCCATCATCTTTGGAGGGTTTCCTTCTTCATTCAGATGTGCTAACTGTCCCTGACTCATCCTTGTTTCCCCCCCCCCCATGTTTCTTTTTGCAAAGAATCATTTTTTAAAAAGTCCTTTTGAACATATTAAAAACCTTTAAAAAGTGAAGCTGGTTGAAGAAAGCCATCTCAAAGAAACAGTCCACTAATCCTGCCCAGTGTCTGGCCCCTCTTGTTGCTAACTGTGGTCAATGATGGCTAAGCCAGATTTTAAGCCAGGTACCACCCCCAAGTATTTCATATAATTCTCAAATTACATTTTGAGAAACCAAAGCAGAGGCCAGTGTAGGGTGGAGCATGCCTTTCTGTTAACTTTATAGTAACAGGAAGTTGTATTATAGAACTTAGAACATGTAATGGCCTTGGCTTTGACTCATCTGCTCTTATCTCTAATCTGGAATGGCCAATCTTTATCAGGAACACATGTGGGCTCATGGCGGCCTCATTAAGTGAGGGAAGCATGGTTTTGTTCTCAGGCCTGGACATGGCTGAGGACCTGGGAGATACAGCCAGTCAGGCAGACCTGTACCAGGGGCAGCATCCTCCTCATCACTGTGAAAGTCCAACCAGAGGGCTCCACCCCAGAACAAAGTGGGGGTCCCGGCCATCTCACCAGCAGCAGGAGCCAGTCTCCGGAGACAGTTTCGTACTCCTTGAAGGTGGTCAGCACAGCCAGAATCAAGCACCCTAGGACAATCAGGAACCTAGAGGGAGGAAGGAGAGGAAGGAACATTTAGTCGTGGTGTGCTGTGCAGGGAGATGGGGAAAGAAGTCAGCCGGGATGAAGGCACAGCCCCATTGGACAGCGTTCTGTGCTCTCTCCATTATCCCACCTAATCCCCAGAGAAATCTGCGGGACAGATAGGAATTCCTGTCCTAGTTAGAGAAAGCCAGATGAAGTACGGTTCAACAAGGTGCATGTGTTCACTTGACTGCTAGCTAGCAGAATCAGTCACTTAGAAGTTAAACCAGCCCTCCCAGCAGTGGGGGGCTGCAGAATCCCAAAAGACCAAAAATTATTGCTGTTTTTTTTTAAATCAACAAGAACATGAATAAGTTAGCACGTCCAGTATATATACGGCTCTGATCTTAAAATATATGGAAATTCTTCCTTGTATGAAGAAAACACTCTTTTTAAGGATAAATTCAGAGAAGGCTGTGTCCTCATGTTTCAGTACTATTCCTTTTTACAGTCAATGGCTGTAGAAAACCTCTTTCAATTGGCGAGGGGCAGGGGGTTTTTGACTTGTGTTTGAAATGCTGGAAAGAATAGGAATTAGCACACCGAGGGCTGCTCAAAGCTGGTCCCTTAAAATTCACACAGAGGTCATCTGGTCCTTGCTCTCACCTCAGACTAAAGCAAACCCCTGAGACAGAGACAGAGAATGCTTTGTTGCTTTAGCAAATAAAAATGGCCTTTCCTTCTCCAGATGTGGACTAGTCTGGCTCCACAGTCAGTTCCTGGTTCCTGACAGAGAATGGACAAGCTAGGACCCTGGGGTAAAGCCTGATGGTGTCTCACATACTCCAAGTGCTCCTACTCCAGACGATCTGCTCTCTGTCCTGTCCATGGCTAGTTCTACCCATGCTTCTCGGTTTGCTCATTTATTCCTTGAATCTGTATATGGCAGAGATTTGGAGCACAGCTGGAATTCGCTGATGAATGAGCTGGATCTGCTTTCAGGAGCTCACAATCCGGATAAGCAGAAGACTGCCTCATGCTATAAGAGCAAGAAACTTGATAACAGGAAGCATGAAAATATCTGCCCTTGGCTTTGGCTGGGACCCAAATCCTGGCTGGTCCTTGGTAATCCCAGTCACATGCTTCAGTCATTAAACTTGCTAATCTTCAGACCTGAATATTTATGTTTCCAGCTCTTCCTAGGAACCTGAGATTTCCAAACTTCTATGTCTGGCCATTTTACTTGAAATTTGTGACTCTAATCCATCCTTGAATCTGCCCATCCTGAATCCCAAACCTTCTTCTTAGGTGATGGTGGTGATGATGATGATGATGATGGTGATGATAATGGTGATGATGATAGTGGTGATGATGATGGTGATGGTGGTGATAGTGATGATGGTGATGATGAGGGACAACTTCCATTACTGCCCTTCAGTGAGCACCTTCCACCTGCCATTTTGCATGTATCAGCTCATCACCCTTACAACAATCTCCCAGGGCAGATATGACCATTAACATGCTGAAGGATTTTTCAGAACAAGATTTTCTAAAAGTTTAAGTTATGGGTCCTGTGATGTAAGCCAGCAACCACTAGGCTTTGTCCTCAGTTGGCACTGAACATGAAGCTGGAGTCCTTGGCTGAGTCGGTGTGTGGGTGAAAGGGACAATTGTGTCCCAAAGTGATCTTGTTTAGCAGAAGTAGGAGCCTTAGCCAGACTCTGAGACTCTTGCCACCCCACGTACTTGGTGCGTGTCAATATGGGGGAGATTCTACAAGAAGCATGCACGGTGTGCACACTTTCAGCTGATGCCAGGACTTGCACCTTTGCATAGCCATCCCTCCCCCTTGGTGCAAGTGGCTCACTCCTGACAACAGCATGGCAATGGCGGAGGAAGTCATTCCTCTACTTGGGTTTTGTTACATGGTGAAAGTGTAGAGATAGTTGCGCCCGTGACTGTTGCACAGGGAACAAGACTGTTTCACAGACAGGAGCCAGGGACTCTTGCTGGCCATGAGCTGCTACATCATGAAGGACCTATGAGGCCTTGAGAAAAGGAGCTGTGGGGGCTTCTGGGACCCAAGAGCACCCCCAGCTGCTGAGCAGCATGAACATGTGACTGTCCTGCAACTGCAAGGGCCAGCCATCATGAGAGCCTGGAGGATGGTCACAAGGTCCAGAAAGGATCAGCCCAGACCACATGCTGATTGCTGTGTTGTGGGACCCTGAGCACAGGATGCAGTTAAGTCACAAATGGACTCCTGACACTTGGAAGTTCTGAGATAAAGACATGTGTGTTGTTACAAGCCAGCAAGTAGTGGCAATTTGTTAGGCAGTGACAGAAAATGAACACACTGTGGAATGGAAATCTGTGCCAGGGGTGTCCAGGTTTATAGAGTGTGGTGATTCATGCCATGGCCCAGCTGCATTTACTTGCTTGGTCTGGAGAGCAGAGACTGCCGGCTCCTCTCCCTAGTCCAGTGACCAGCTCAGAGCTGGCACTTAATAAGAACCCATAAGTGCTTAGGGAAAGGGCTGAAGCAGCAACGGAGGTCAGCAACTGCCCTCTCGTTGGAATTAAGGACAAGGATATAGGGAGGGCCTGGAGAGACAGGCGGAATACTAGAGTTTCTGGGCCAAGTGAAGAGTTTGCATTTTTCTCTGCAAGACATCTTTAATATCTAGCTACCTCTCTGGATAAAGTGTCTATATATAGTAAGTCCCCCCCTATCTGAGGTTTTGCTTTGTGTGGTTTCAGTTACTCATGATCAGCTGTGGTCTGAAAATATTCACTGCAAAATTCCAACAATAAGCAATTTATAAGTTCTAAGTAATTTTTTCACAGTATAGTATTCTAATTGTTCTATTATTAAGTATTGCTTTTAATCTCTTACTGTACCTAATTTAGATCTTAAACTTGACCACAGGTATGGAGTATGCATAGGAAAAAAAATAGCATATATTGAGTTTGGTACTATTCATCTTTCAGGCACTCACAGAACATCTCTAAGGTACCATTTAGAGAAAACAGGAGACTAGAGTGTGTCCACATCTGCATCTACACGTATCTGCAAAAAGTTCTCTGAAGGACTGGTCACAAGGCTGTTGTTGCAGGCTGACCAGAGACGAGGAAGGCTTAGGTGGAGAGATAACAACAGCCTCCTGATGTTCTCAGTGGGATTTGTGACTAAAGGGATGTGAAGGCCAAACAGGGGGCCATCAGGAAGGCCTCAGGGCTGGGGAAAGTGTCAAGGACCACTGTTCAAAGATGTCAGGAGGATGGGCAACGGCCAGCACAGTAGCAAAGACAAGCAACAACCTGTGGACCTGCTGAGTCTGAGATCCAGGTGGAAGTCTTCATCAGGCTGATCAAAATCTAAGTCTAAAGCTCAGAGGAGATGTCAGGGCAGAAGTTGCAACAACACCAAGCTTTAATAACTTGATGCTTGCAGACTTCACCAACCACCAAAGAGATTTCAATCATGTACCAGGGAGCTACAGAACAAGACTTCAGCCAGCAGGGGGCAGCAATCACCAGGCAGAGCTCTGCGCGTTCTGCACCTTTCCAGTAACCTCGGGCTCTGCTGAGATGAGAGAACCATCAGTTTATAAAGTTCCAGTCATCAAGAAAGCCCTCCTATCCCTATCCAAGAAGGGGAAACCTCCTTTGTTTAGGTTTTTTGTTTTTTTGCAAAATTCAATATGTTCTTAAAATAGGAGCTCAATTTCAGATGGAGCACATGTCTGTGTACCAACAGAAGCCATCTGGGTCTCTGGACACTAAAGAGCCACTAGATGGCTAGCTGTGCCCCCCACTTCTCCTCCAGTCTTGGCGCTCTCTTCTGAGCCTCACCAGCTCTCCTTTTGCCCTGTCCCTTTGGTTACCTCTCTACATCCTTGGCCATTTCTCCACTGCCCTCTGTTGCTCTCCCTCCCATGACATCCTTTCCTCTCCCCCTCCCACTTTCCTTCCCCCTTCCTCTCTTCCCTTCACTCCCCCCTCCTCTGCTCTGTGCTCATGTCTTCTCCCTCACTTCTTCCTGTGCCCTGCAGGCCCTGTAGGGTTTGTGGTCCACACTCCCAAGGGGAGCCATGGGCTGCCCTTGTTCCTGGCTGTCTTTGCAACTGATGCCAGTCAGGGTCAGTGGTCTTGGACACACCCTTAAATCAGACACCTCCTGATCCATGCTCTCCTCAAACTCTGCCATCTTCCAACCAGGAAAAGGCAGAGGAGGGCTGGGGGAACTGCTACCAGGAGGCCTTTATTCTTGCACATGGTTCCGAGGTGCAAGGTGTAGGGACTCCTGATGAGACCCTGTGCATCCTGCTCAAGCCCCTCCAGGCCAGATCTCTGCCCAGCAGCAGGCAAAGAAGGAAGGTTCAGGCAGCTTCTATAGACATACAGTTGAGCAAGGAACCACAGGGGTATCTGGATACTCCCACCGCCCTCTCCTCAGCCATGCCAGTCATCTTCTGCAGGCAACAAAGCAGGGCCGCTGGGAAGAGACAGTGAACTGTGATGTGCCCCTCACAGGCTGCATTCACACCATGACAAAGACAAGAGCCCAGCATTTGTGGCCATTTCTTCCATATGCCGTTTCCTCTTCTCCTGAGAGCAGCACTGAGAGGCAGGGCACGGCCACCTTTATATATATATGTTTATTTATTCTTTCAAGGCAGACACAATACCTTTGTTTTTACGTGGTGCTAAGGATCAAACCCAGTGCCTCACACAGTAGGTGAGCACTCTACTGACTACTGAAGAGCCACGACCCCAGCCCCACTGCCATCTTTTCTTTGCATCACCATTTCAGGCAGCAGGGCAGGGTCGCCAAGGGAGAGAAGGGCCCTGTGCTGGGAGTTGGCAACGGGGTTTCCCCAAGAATCTGCAATGGAGGCGGTTTGGTCAGAGCCCGTGTGGGGGCAGCCTGGGTACTCCCAGGTCAGCTGGCAGAGGACCGTGGCCTCCCTCCTCTCCTTCCTCTCTGGACTCCCAGGTGAGGGGGAGCTCCATTGGATT